GCAGATTTCTCCAGGAGCTCAGATCCACCTCCATTTGGGATAATCATTTATTGTTTTTATGCATTGAAAATGTTTTCTACCCTGCCTTTTTACAGTCGAGAACCCAAAGTGGCTTCCATCATTGAAAATGCAGGAGATGCTGCAACCCAGCGCTTTCTGATCCCTGGGAAGGGACAAACCCTGGCTCAAGTGGGAGGAGCCTGCACTGATGCCCCGCCTACATGTCCACATGCTCCGCCCAGAAGCCAAGGTGCGTCAAGAGAAGGTGAGCTGCTCTCTCATTGGTTCCACTCAACTGGCTTGTAGCTTCCACTGATGGCTAGGCTGGAACAGTTCGCACACAAAACTTGGGAAAGTGTGGGTTCTCACACCCCATGCTGTTATTTCCTCAAATCCCCCAGGCAAAATGGTGCTGGCTGGAGGGCTCTGGAGCCCACCAGCCAGGAAAACTGATTATTTCTTAAGATTGGCACAAGATACTTCATAAAAATGGACATTTGCAACTACTGAGCTGGAACATAAGGTTTTGTGTGTATGTGGTTTTTAATGGAATTTTGGAATTCTCACAAGGCTGCAGTCTACAAACACAACTGAAATTCTGGGGACGTTTATTGTGAAGATTGATTTGCTACATTGACAAATGAGGCTAAAGATATACTTGACAAAGAAGGATAGCCATTTATCTCTGCCGTTGTATTAGACTGGTATATACTGCCCTGGTTCCATCCTTCTTTATCTCTATACTATTCCCTGGTTTCTTTCCCACGACTCTCAACCCTTAAACGTTTATGTGAGGCTAATTTTTATGCTGCATGTTTTTTTTCCTTTCAAAAATTGGAAAAGAATTAAAAACGTGACAGCCTGAACTTATGTAATACCAAACCATATCTGAGGGGTTTTTTTTAATGGATTGTTGCACCGTGTTGCTTTTAAATGCATGTCTAGTATTGATTTTATTTACCGTTTTGAAGATACTATAATCTTAGAACTGCAGGGCTGGAAGGGACCCCGTGGGCCATCCAGTCCAGCCCCTGCTAAGGAGGCCCAGTGGGGGAATCAAACTCCCAGCCAGAGACCTAAACTACTGAGCTATCCATTTGCTTAATTCTTTTAAAAATATTTATATACTTACAGTTTTAGCTTTTAAACATTGTCTGTTAAATTAGGTAAGCTGCCTTGGGTCTTTTTTTTTTAAGGAGAAAGGGAGGGTAAACATTTTTAAAATAACTAAATAAACAGTTTTCTTAATAGCTGTCCGCCAAGAATTATGGCACGCACACTGCGAAAACCTCCATTTGCCCACTCTTAAAGAACATCATTATGTGACGAGCATGAATTAGCAAAGGATTGTGTGAAGTTCTGCGTGCTGGAAATTTGGGGAAGATGAAACTCATTCTGTTCCCCCTTTGTCACTTCAGTCCCGTCCCCCCCCCGCAAATGGAGAACCTGCCAACACAGATCTTATGCAGAAAGAAAGACACTGACATCATCTGGAACACATGACAGAATGCATGCAATGTCTGAAATACCTTGACAAAACCATACACTATGTATGTTGATGCTTTCCCTGTGCCACCAGTGTAAACAAGTTCTGAGTGCATTGAATTGTCAGAACTTCCAAACATGAAAACTTGGGGATTATAGCCCCAAACTGCTAATTCTCATCATGGTTTAGGAGGAGAGGGTAGTAGGGGAGGCTACGGTACTATCTGTGTCTTGGTATCCTGTCCAAAGTGCCCACACCATGCCAGACTTTCCCCTTAATGGCCAAAATAAAGGTAACATTTTAAAAAAATGTACAAAATTTTTATGTATTCAGTTGTTCTGGAGATTCTGGTTCACAAAAGTAACTTTTCCAACCTCTGGATCATGAACATCAATCCGTGATAGCATGGCAGTGCTGGTGGGGAATTCTAGGAATTTTCATGTCTAAAAGTAACTTTTCCAAACTTTGTACGCAGACTGTGAATAATCAGCAAATATTGGGTCTGGAGTGGCCCAGTTTGAATGGGTATCTTTTTTTTTGGGGGGGGGGATGCAGAAATCTGCCTAATACTCAGATTTTGGCTCCTTCAGCATCCTGCTCTCCCTGTCTTTCGAGCCGTGCCTTGCCAAGCATTTTCGGAGAAACTTTTCAGCAGGAAAAAGGTCCCTGTTTACAAACCTGTCATGGACCTGGACTGAACGGGGTTCAGGGTGCAAAACCTGTGAAGCCTGTAATGAGGATCTCTCTCCTTCGTGCTGCTTTGCCACCCTGACTCAGAACTTGCACACTTTGGGGGGGAAAAATAAAAT